TGGGGCTGAGTATAGACATGCATAGTGTTCTCTGTAAGCCTCAGATACCACTGTTGTGTCATTTGTCGGTTCTCCGTTTCTGTCCCTCAAGAAGAACGCGGATGGCCTGTTTCTGCGGCGATGTCTCATGTACTTGAACAGTACGTTTTTGTTTTTTCGAGCGGGGTCCAGAATGGTGGCTTGTTTTCGTATGTTCCATTGGCGGATTTCCGACTTACAGCGATTCCGCATTTTACGAAATGCCAGCTCATCTTCTGTGCCCCCTGTGGTCAACTTTTTGAAAAAGAGTTGGGATCTTTTTTCCAGAAGTCGCTAATTATTCTCGTCGCTTAGCTGAATGTCGTGCGATACAGAAATGAATACAAAGATACCTAGGGCAGGGTATAGACAGATGGACAGAGAAGATTTAGTGCAGGTCAAGTGACCATAGAGTAATACGTCCGATAGAGCAGATTTGATAGTGATAATGATAATGTTTATTTCCAAACCTTTGGGTGGCATACCGTCAGGCGTGATCATAATGTTACAGACGGAATAAAAGTGTGACTGGCGGGGTACAGGGGGTTAGGAAATGGGTCAGCATCATTAGGGGTGGGTGTTATACGAAGCAGGCATGATCATTACCAACCCGGCACGAGCAGGGAAGCAGAGTTACCATGCGTTATTGGAGAGAATATCGGGCAAGACCAGATCGCTGGGATTTGGAAGTGGCGGGCGAAAAAACGAAGCGAAGGAGGACTTTACAAGAGGCTTCCTGTGTGACACATGACAAGAAAAGTGTAACCGTTGAAAATGAAGAACCAGAGCATCAGATCAGGTGAAGCATCCGGTTATGTTGAACTAAAGCCTAAAACCACCGTTAAGGCCTCGAGGCCTTGGACTGATGGGCTCATGGCTAGTGTCACGAGAAATGTGAGTATGGATGACAGGGTGGAGGGATTAGCAGAGCGGATGGGCTTCAACAGAAATCAGAGAAACATGCTGTGCAGCGAAACTGTAGAGACTCACTAATGTCGCTGTTGTGGAGATGGGCATACTTTTTCCTTGGGAGATTGAGATGATGGCAATGCGCAAGTCGGAACACGAATTGTATGGAAAGTTATTGAATTTTGTGGGAAGCACAGACACATAAATGGTTAAAGCTGAACAAAAATTTCGTCGGATTGGAAGGACCATGTCATGGAGGCAGCTATGGCCATTTAGGGCTTTTGTCGTATTTGGAGTTATTGGAACGAGTGGGCGAGATGGC